CTAGAACGGAGTGTGAAGCATCCAGCTGATATGAAGTGAGGGGAGATGCACAAGAACACCCACACTTACAGATAGTACCCATTTGACCTGGCATCAATGGCTGGATGATCAGAACATGACAAGAGGAAGAAAGAAGAGGAACAACAAAAAAAGAAAGAGTAACCCACTACAAGAGGATGCACCTGACCTTGTGAAATGTAGTATGACAAAGGAGCGGGGAAATCTCTACACTGAAGATCATTCCCATTGCCTTGGTACACAGGGTCGACAGGAATGGGGAACTTAGACATTGGTTACCCAAAATGGGGGAAAGGCAAGAAAGGAGCTCTGGTAGCGTAGTGGTTACAAGTCGGGCTGCCAACCTCAAGGTCAGCAGTTCGAAACTACCAGAAGTTCCGCGGGAGAAAGATGAGGCATTCTGCTCCCCTAAAGATTTACAGCCTCAGAAACCCTGTGCAGGGTCACTATGAGTCCGAAATGACTCCGCGGTACATAACAACAACAACAACAACCTGAAGTGACTCCGCAGTACATAACAACAACAACAACAACACAAAGGCAAGAAGTGACTGGCTTACAAGCTTTCAATAGGGAACCTAGCTCCACAGGATACAGGGAAAGGTAGAATCTCCACTGAATTGTTTCCAACCTGTCTGGATGGGGGTGATAAAAGGTGAGGGAAAAAGGACTCCTGTGGGTCAATAGGGAATAACTGCTAACAGTGAGTGTTGGAAATGTAAATGTAAATGTTTGGTAACAAAAGGAGGAGAGTGGCTGATTTTGCAGTCCAGGGAAGATCCCTGGAACCATCAAGGGAGAAAAGCCAAGTGGGATACCCTGTCTGGGGAGGTGCTGACGCTAGGGATGGAGGAAGAGACATGCTGTGGACAGAAGGAGGAGTGGTTGGGGACTCTGGACTCAGGGAAGGAGGGGGGCAGGCATGTGGGGTGTACCCTTTGGTTGTTTGATGATGCATGCAAGGGATTGAGAGTATTGCAATGAAACAAAATACGATAGGATGAATGTAAAGATAACGTTCACCCATGTAAACTAATAAATAATTTTCACTATAAAAACTTAAAAAAAAAAAGAAAGAAAAAAACAAGTCAGATAAAAAGATACTCTAATTGATTTTGAATCTGATGCTAAACTATGCAGTATCCCTTGTTCTTTTCTGTTTTGTGTAGTCACTATTAACTCTATTAATTGTTAAATTTAAACCTAATACTTAGAATTAGCTAGACCAGGTCATCTCCCCTTTCTCAGCAATGATCACTTGCACGGATGGTAGGTTATGTGGGGGTTCCTTTACACTGTTTCTTGCTTTACTACCTTCACCTTTAGCCCTATCTCTTACCTGCTTGCTGTTGTTCGTGTAACTGCTAAAATTCCATCCACTGACTTCGCAAGAGTCCTGCACATTACAAAAAGGACACCCTCTTGTCTCTGTTGTTGCATGTCTTACTGAAATTATTCCAAGGCTATACAGTCTGAATGTCACCTTTCCTTATTAACTATGGTGGGACTGCAGGATAAAGCACTGGGCCGCAAGGTCAGTTTGAACCACAGGGTGGGTGGTTCAAACCCACCAGCCGCTCCTCGGAAATCCTATACAGGGTTGCTATGAGTCAAAACCAACTCAATGGCACTTAACAACAACAAGACAACATTTTAACAGTAGGGCTTCATAATATTTTGTTTCACTTTTTATCTTGACTTAGATATTTTTGTTAAACTCACCACTGGCCAATACTGGACTAATTTAAAGACCCATGAAATTAACTTCTGAAATGGAATATTCTGTTGGAAAACTCCTGAATTTAGAAGTAGAATCTGAATTCATATTGAACCATCAAGGAGGATCTAGGCAAATTTAAAGATGTTTTATTTCTTAATCTATAAAATAAATGTGCTCAATTAGGTAATATGTGTGGACACAGACAACTCTGATATATTGTAAATCTATAATAAAATTTCTCAAAATTATTCGATGAGGTTGACCATAAAAATAATTCTGTCAAATAGTCTGAGAAATAGAAATCCATCTGTTTTCCTGTGAAATTCGAATTGTACTTTAGCATATTAAGAATTTGCAAACTATGACAGGAAATAAACAACTTTCTTTATTTAACCTCTTATCAAAAAGTATGTTATTATGTGTAATGGGCATCAATGAACCATACATTTTTTTCTATAAGGTGTTGTTTTTTTTCTATAAGGTGCCGTCAAGTCAGTCTGATTCATAGGGACCCCATGCATGCATTGAAACATACCCTAGGAAACCATAAATTCATATATCACCTGTGACAAATCATCCCTGAACACTTCCCTTCCCTTAATTCTACCAATAAATAAATAAAGCAAAAAAAAAAAAAAAAACACACCATACCGGGTCATTATGAGTCGGAACTGACTCGA